GGGGGGGGGGGGGGGGGGGGGGGGAAGGCTCTTGTCCCCAACCAGAAAAAATTGATAACTTGGCTGAAGCAGAGAGGGGCTGGGTGGGTGGAAGCAATGTAGAGATGAAAATACCCAGAGAGGGAGCCAGGCGGGCTGAGGTGGACGGTCCAGGAGAGCAGGGCAAAGAGCATTTGGAAGGCTGACATGCTTGGCACTGCTGCAAAGTCTTTCCTGCCTCCACCCATTATCTTCTCCAGGAAGACCTCCTGGATTGGGGTAGGATGTTTGGTTATAAGCTGTGGGCTGGATTGGAAGGGGCCACTGTGCCTGACATAGGATGTGGAACCCATTGCAAGCCCTTCTAAAAAACATCCATTCAATAAATACCCAGAAAAGGAAAGGCCATGTTTTCCTCTCCAGAATCTTAGGACCACCGTGGCTTTTTTTTTTTTTCGGCCCCTCCCCGCCTTCCCCCCCGCTGCCTGGTTTTCATTAGCCCCACAGGCTTGCTTCTTCAAAGTCTTCTTTCCATCATTCCATACATGGCTATTCTTGGGCCGGCCAGTTTGCATTCAAATCAGCTTTTCACTCAATCCGAGGTCTTTGCCACCTGATGCTTACTTTTTTGGCCGCGGTGAATAATCCCCTTAAGGGAATTATTCCCTGATGCTGAGTTGGTTAGGCGTCTACACAGACACGCAGCTTTCCTCCCCTAGAGCTGCTCCCCTGACTCACCTGTAGGACAGGTGTGGGGGGAGGTGGGGGTGGGTTCCACCTGGTGGAGAGCATAGGTGGGGCAAGACACACCCCAACCACCCCATTGGTTTCTCCCCGAGGCTTACTGACGGCGCCTCACCCATTCACGAGGCAGTATTCCTTCTCCATCCAATGGACGCGGAATTGGGATCGGACCTCGGGCTGGGGTCGGGCCCTAGAGCCGACTGGCAGGGCACGAGGCCAATGGAGAGGCGGTAAACACAGGCGGTCGGGGAGGGGCGGACTCGGAGCTGGGCCCCGCCTCCCAGCGGGATGGGCAGGCCGCGGGGCCAGTGAGAGCGCGGCGGCCGGTGGGCGTCGCCCCGGGGGCGGGGCTCCGAGGGGGAGCCCAAGGCGTGGCTTGGCTGTCAGGTCTCTTCGCCTTTTGTTCGTTTAGGGAGTTGCAGCCGCGGCCAGAGTCCGGAGCAGCCACCGCCCGAGCGGAGCCGATCCTCCGATCCAAACCCAGCCCAGCCCCAGTCCTGCCCGCTGCTCCGAGCCCTAGCCCCAGCCCGGACCCCGGCTACGAGCGCAGGTGAGGGGCGCGTGTGGCTGGGGCGGGGGGCGACAGTGACTCCGCGCGCGCTCGGGTGCGTGGGGTGGGGGCGCCTGGAGGGGCGGGTCCGTCGAGGTGACATTTAGAGGAGGAGAGGAAGGGGGCGCCAATGGGAGGGGGCATGAGCGAGCTTTGCCGACGGGGCGGTGGGAACAAGCGCCTACTTACAGGGAGTGAAGAGGGTGGCTGCTTTTGGATCGTTGAGGTCTGGGATGGGCCGGTGGGTGGGTGGGGGGACAGAAAGGCAATCGGGGTTGCGAGATTTTCCTTGGGGAGGGGGTGTCTGAAGGGTCAGGCTGGGCCACTCCGAAGGGGGAGTGGGTTTATGGAGGACTGAACTGGGTGGGGCTGGAAATGTGGAGCAAGAGATTGAGAGGAGGGTGAGTTTGGGGAGAGTGGATCTCTCTGGTCTTTTTTAAGGAGGGGAGGTGGGCAGCAGTGGCTTGGGAAGGGCTTTGGCTTCGTCCTAGAAAAGTCTGAGCTGCAGGGGGTGGAAATTGGAGGAGGGGTACGGTGCAGGGGAGGGTCAGGTCTGACTAGAGCACTGCCCTCCCTGTGGCCTTAGTGGACTGGGATTGAGGGGGAGACTTTGACCTCATTTCACGTGGTGAGCACATAGAGCATTCTCTCTCTGTCCAGCTGGGAATTTATAGTTAAAGAAACTTGCAGCTGGGCTGCCCTCCCCTTCCCCCCTCCACCTTCCCCCCACCAAGAGTCATTCCTGTCCTCCTCTTCCTCCCCCACCTCCCCAGGCCTGGGTGGGGCCCTATTGTCTGGGTCCAGTTTTCCAAGCCGTGGGGTCAGTGCTCTTGCATTAGAGGCGGGACCTCCATTCCCGGTTTGCTGAGCAGGTGAATTTGTTGTTAGGCATAAATTTGCCATTGGGCATTAAACGGATCCCAGGTCCCTAGGAGTTAACATCAAAGTCCTGGATTTTCTTCTCTCAAATGTGTGTTTGGGTTTCAGGAGGTGCGGAGAAGTAGGTGGCTTGTTTTGTTTTAGAGTGTCTGACTTGTTGAGACTTAGGGAGGGCTTCAGGGAGGAGGTGGTTTATGGAAGGTCAGGAAGCACTAGGGGTGGTAGACATGGATGGACCAGGACAGCAGAAAGTTACCTGGTCTTGCTGGTGTGTTCTTCCTATGCTGTCTTCTGACATGTGTAGCTTAGAGACCATAGAATTTATTTAGAGAACACCTGGTTCAAATACTTCATTTCACAGACTCTTTTCTAACTAGCTATGGAAGGTTTATATGGGGCCTCAGTTTGCCTCAGTTTCCTCAACTGTAACATGGGAATAATACCACTTGCCTTGAAGGGTTGTGAGGACCAAATGAGATAATATTTGCCAAGTGCCTAGCACAATGCCTGGCACATGGTAGGTGCTATATACATGCTTATTTCACCCCTCACCCTGTCTTCCCCTGTCCTTTTTTTCTCCTTCTTTCCAGACACTCCTCCCCCCCTTTCATTTTTTACTGTGGAAAATTCACCTAGCAATAAACCTTGTCGTCTAGTCCTGCCTGACTTCCATGATCCCATTTGGGGTAGTTTTTTTTTTTTTGGCAAAGATACTGTGGTGGTTTGCCATTTTCTTCTCCAGCTCATTTTACAGATGAGGAAACTGAGGCAAACAGGGTTAAATGACTTGCCTAAGGTCACACAGCTAGTAAGTGTCTGAGGCTGGATTTGGACTCAGAGCCTTCTGACTCCAGGCCAAAGGCTCCATCTGCTGTGCCACCTAGCTTCTCTAATAAACTTTTTAGGGGGAATCATGGAATCAGATCTAGAGCAAAAGGACCTTATGGGCCATGAAGTTCAGCTCTCTCCTTCTCCTCAAGACCTTCTTAACTCTGGATAGAGCTCAGAATAGAGAGCTCAGAGTTGATCCTTTCTGATCTTATCCCTTCCCCTCCCCACCTCCATTCTATTTACTAATCCGTTGGAGATAGAGGGAGCCCACTTGCACTTTCTTTCCATATCCAGGGGCATCCCCTGCACTCCTCACCTCTCTCTCTTCCCCAGTTCAGGCAAAGTCTTTGTAACCTTCTCCCGTAGCCACTGCCCCCAGCCCAGAGCAGGAGATTGAGCTAGGAAAAGAATCGTGTTGGAGACACCAATTATCTTATATTCTTACCCTGTCTTTTACCCTTTCCCATTCCCTGGTTTAATCAGCCACCTCATAATTTAGGAGGAAGCTAGCAGCAAGCAATAGGACTTGATTTCCACTTGATTACCAAATTATGAAGTTTACTGAAGCGTGACTACTGCAGATATGTTTGGGATCTGGGTCTTTTGAGGTACTCCTTGAACAAATCATAGGGTCAGAGGATTTTTACAGCTGGAAGGGCTTTCATCTAGCCTAGGTCCTTGCTGAGACATGGGTAGGTGGGTAGTCTGGTCCACACTGGAGAAATGGAAGAAAGTTTCATGACTACTTGGGTCTTGACTAAGAAATATAGCTCACATTTATATATTGTTTTCAGGTTTACAAAACACTCTTTTCAGTATGACCCTGTGAGCAGATAATGCCAGTACTATTGTCCCCATTTTAGAGATGAGAAAATGGAGGCTGGGAAAGGTAAAAGTGACCGGCCCAGGGTCACACAGCTAGAAGGCAATCCTGAAGAGAGAGAAAAAGGGTTGGATTTGGAATCAGTGCACCTGAGTCTGAATCCCAGCCCTGCTGCCTATTACACACTGGGGTCATTCTTTGGCAAACCATTTCAATTCCCCTAGTCTCAGTTTCCTCATCTGGGGAAAAAAAAAAAGAGGATGTTGGACCAAAAGACCTCCAAGATACCTTCTAACCCTAAATCTATATTCATAATCCTTTGTCAGAGATGATATTTGAATTGAGGTCTCTTGACTTCATATTTCAGCACTTGGCCATCACATTGCCTCTGAGATTTCTTCATTCCTCTTCCCTTACCCCCTTTTGCTATTGTGTTGTTTTCTCAGTCATGTCCAACTCTTCATGACCCCATTTGGGGTTTTCTTGGCAGTGATACTGGAGTAATTTGCCATTTCTTCTCCAGCTCATTTTATAGATGAGAAAATTGAGGCAAACAGGATTAAGTGATTTGGCCAGGGTCACACAGCTAGGAAGTGTCTGAAGCCAGATTTGAACTCGGGAAGACGGGTCTTCCTTACTCTAGGCCTGGCACTCTACCCACTTCACCACCTAGCTGCATGCCCTTCCCCCCCCCAAATCTCTTAGCATGTTGAATTTAGGGGATTTATCAGTCAGACCTAATTTTCTCCTATTAGCCCAGGCCTTTCCAAGGCCTTTCTCATCAGGGTTCAGATTTAGCCCTAGGGGTGAAGAGGTGGAGGGAAAGCTTGGAAGGGTAGTAGTAGAAATCCTGAATCTAATTCCTTTGCTGTGATGCTGCTGCTGGTGTGAAGGTGGGGGCAAGGGAAGAATGGTACTGTGTGGTTTGTACCAGAGCCAAGGAGGAGGGGAAAAGGCATGGTAATTGCATTAACTCAATGATTAGTTTAGCTAATCTGGTTTGTGGCTGAGTTGAAAAGATTATACTGAAGAAGAATTGCTCAGTACTTGTCTGAGAAAACTAGCTTTTGCTAGAGGAGGAAGGTGAGTATATTAAAAAAATAAGAAAATAATATTTGAATTTGATCTGTTCATTCTGCCTGAAGTCTGTACCAATTTAGGTGAAAGGGGATCCTGGTCCTTTTACCCTCCTCTTTATCCCAGTGAGTGCTCAGCCCCAGCTTACTCTCCAAAACTCAGTCTTTGTCATCAGTGCCTTACATTCTGAGGAGGAAAGGGAGATAAAAGAATGAGGAAGGCCAGGATTGGAGACCTCTCAGCAAGGCGAAGAGACCCCTCTTTGTCTCAGGACTGGGAAATTGGAGGTTGAGGGCCAGATAGGACTTCTGCAGAGCTCTGAAAAGGGTTAGGGGAGAAGTCAGTCTTCACTAAGAAGCTTTTTTTTTTTGTTGCTGTGCTTAACTCCCTGGGAATTCCCTTTTTTTCCCCTCCCTAAACTTCCAGAGGCTCCTATCTGTATGAGTGGAGAGAAGGAAAGTTGAGAGGGGACCACAAAGGGGGACAGTGCTGGCAGGTGGGAGCCGGGCTTCTTTAAAGACTGAATTGACTCACTCACATTCTCAGTTCTCTGGAGAAAGGAGTTCACCCTTGTGGCCCTTGTGATTGTGGGGGTGGGGCTAAAAGGGTCTCTCTCAGACCAGTAGATCCTGGGAATATAATGGGGGGTGGGGTAGGGGTGAAAGAAGGTCAGACTTCCAGATAGGGAGGCCTCTCCTGGCTCGAGCTGGTTGGAGCTCCTGGACTGATCCAGTCTTATGGATGGAACAAAAAGTGAAATGCTCTGCCTTGACCAGTGATAGGACCAAACTGGAAGGAAAGAGGATACAACAGCGGGGGAAAAACCGGCTGATAAAAGTTGCTCTCATCTTAAACCTTTGGACCTTCCTTCTTTGGTGGTGGAGAGAGTATCTGAAGAGCCAGATTAGAGAGAGACTTTAATTAGCTGTGTCCAGCTCTTGATTGGGAGAAATCTAGAAGTTAAACCTATTTATTTCCCTGCCATTGGGTGGCAAGGCCCCTCCCTCAGATTAGTGGAAAAGATTCCTTTGTCCGTTCTGTCCCAGGTGGGAGAACTAAGGCAGCCCAGAGGGACAGGGATTCAAGAGTCATAGTAGCCAGTCTGGTGCTTTTTGAGAACAGAGACGAATTCTTTTGGTAGGACCAGAGGGGCCCTCAGCTCTAACACTACTAGACCTTGGACTCAGTTTGGACTAGGTTGGACTAGATGACCTCTGAGGTGCCTTCTAGTGCCTAAACTGTGATCCTGTGATTTAGAGGGCCTGGGAATGGGGGAGGGAGGGAATCCAAAGGTTTGCTGTATCGCTATCTGAACTTCTGTGGTATGTGGGAAGGCAGGCAAAGGTCAGTTTAGAGTTCTGGTCACTAAGGGAGTTGGGGTCAAACCTGC